GAAGATGGGCATGGGTGTTAGCTCAGGGCCAGTCTTCCTCAGCAAAAAGAGGAGGATTGGCAGCAGTTAGCTCAGAGCTAATCTTCCTCAAAAAAAAAAAGAAAAAGACCCAGATCTGCCTACCTACCCACCTCCTAGGCCAAGGCACCCACGGGTCCTACAAATCCAACAGACCCAGCCTCTGCTGGGAGTGCATGTGGGGTGTGGGTTTCTGCAGCTTACGGGCAGCCCGCAGAGGCTATCAGATACAGGAGCAGGTGGCAGGCCCCTCAAGATGCATGCCACAGCATGGCGCGAGAGCAGCAACCTGTGGGGCTGGGCGCACACCTGGCCACACACTGCTGGCTTGAGTTTGTGGCAGGGAGCACTTGCAATGTTGGTAATTTTTGTTAAAATAATAAACTAAGTTGAAAACAAAAACACCCTTTCACACAGCCGATGCTCACAGCCAAAGCAACCCGAACTCAGAGGAGTCGAGACTGAGACGGCCCAGGGAGGGCAAGGGAGGCGACCAGACCAGACTCCCTACAACACCCATGCCGAGAAGCCCGCCTGGTGGCAGCTCCTGAGCTGAGCTGGCAGGAAGGCCAGCCAGGCAGGGCCGGGGGCGCCCGGCCTTCTGAGGCGGCCAAGGACACACCCTCCTCTCTCTGCCTCTCCCTGGTGGCAGGCCCAGGAGAGTCCAGTTGTCCAAACGTCTCTCAGGCCCCCCTGAAAACCACAGAGTGGCCCCAGCTTGACCTGACCTGGCGCTGCCCAGGGCCTGTGCAAACCACAGAATCCAGGAAACGCCTCAATGTCAAAGTCCTGAGACGCAGCCACACACAAGGACATGGCTGCCCGAGGGTGGCCGGGCACACCTGCTAGGCCCACGAGGCCTCTGGGCCCCCCCAGCATTGCCGAGCCAGGGACTCAGGTTACCTGAGGCTCTGCTGGGTCAGGCCTCGCGCAGACAGCCAGCCTCCTGCTCACCGTCCCACAGGCCCAGCCTCGTGCAAGTGGGGAGTCCCCTCAGCTGAGACGGCCACCACTAAGGCCGGAAGGGGGGACACTAAGCCAGAGGCTGCCTTGAGTCAACAGAGGGACTGGGCTGCTCTCAGGAAGCCCAGTGCTGTGTGGTTCAGCAGGGACAGAGGCCCAGCGGTCAGCAACCCCAGGGCAAGGGTGGGCGGAAAGATGCCCCATGGTCCCCAGTGACCCTTGACCTCTGCCCTGTCCTCAGGACTCTGGAGGAGGAGGAGGGAGCTAAGGGGAGGTCGTCTTGAGCCTCTGGAAACTTCTGCAGACCCCAGCAGACAGATCTGTGCCGCTGCTCCAGATCACCTGGTTTCCTCCAGGCTTCCTAGGGGACCCTGCCCCCACGCCCCCTTCCCGGGACACTCTGACACTCCTTTGACCTCAGGCCCCCTGAATCACAAGCCCTCCAGGCAGGCCTTGAGCACAGAAGGCGGGCAGCAGGACCCTGAGTCTGACTGGTGCCATGGTGGGACTTTGGAGTCTCCCTGCCCTGGGCCACGGACCTTGACCCGCAGGTCACATACACTCAGGCACACAGGACTCGGCCCAGGGTGGGCAGAGAAGCCAAGACCCTCCTCTGCCCACCGTCCAGAGCTCTCAGGCTGCTGGGCAGGCAGCTCAGGGCACAGCCTGGCAGGACATACACCACACCGGGGCGCCGAGGCACTCAGGATCCCAAGGCCCTGCCCGGGCGCAGGCAGGTGCCCCCATGCCCGCGCCCAGGCCCCGCGGCCCACTGACCCGAAGTCCTGGTCCATGGACTTGAAGAAGAATTTGTAGGCGTGCACGGGCCGGTTGCTGAGCACGTTCTTGAAGTCGGCCAGCGTGACGCGCTCGGGCGCCACGGGCAGCTTGACCAGGTACGGCGTCTCCTCCTCGTCCATGTGATAGATGATCTTGGTCTCCGCCATGGCGCGGCGCTCAGGCCCGGCCCGGGGCTCGGACGCGGGTGCCTCCCCGCCGCCGGCCTGCGCCCCGCCCGCCCGCCGCTCCCGGCCCGGTCGCGACCAGGCCCCCGGCGCCCCCGCCCGGCCGCCCCGGCCCTGCCCGCCCCGCCGCCCCGACTTCGCTCGCGCCCCGGCTGCCGCCCCGCGGCCCGCGGCCGCCCATCCGCTCCGGCCGGGGACGCAAGCAGGGAGGGCGCGCGAGGCCCGACCGCGTCCGAGCGCCCCGCCGCCGCCGCCGCCCCCTTGGGCCGCGCAGTTAAAGGGACCGCCCGGCCCGGGGCTGAGCGCGCGGCCCGCCGGGGGGCGCCCGAGAGCGCGGCGGGCCTGACGTCACCGGGACCCCGCGGCAGGGCGGCGGCGCTGCGCACGCGCAGGCCGGCGGGGGCGGGGCGCGCGCGGGGGCGATGGGGCGCGGTGTGCGCGCCCAGGGACGCCCCCCAGCCCGCTCTCCAGGTCCCGCGCTCCACGCCCCGGGCCCGGAGCCCTCGGCCGGGCGCGCGGAGGCGCCCACAAGAAGCACGGCCTCGGCTCTCGGCGGGGCCGGTGGGCAGACGGGGGCGCGACCCCGGGGCAGGAGGTGGGTGGGGACCCTCAGGGAGCTCCGCCCTCCACCTGCACGTCGCGCCCCCCAGCTGTCATAAGGGAGACCCCGCCCCAGGCTACGCCACGCGCCCGCCGGGAGCACGGGGGGTGGGCTGCAGCCCTGCGGGGAGTCGCTCGGCCGGCTTCCGGTCCTCCTCCCCTTCGCGAGGGCTCCCCGGGCCGTGGGTGCTCACAGTCCGGAGGCGCCCTGGTCACCTCGGCGGGCTTCAGGGGGCACCGCGGGAAGCTGAGGATCCTCGGTCCCTATGCGCCCCCGCGCTAGCTCCAAGCTCGCGCGCCCTCTGTCGGGTCCCACGGAGGCTCCGAGAAACACGGACCGAATGAATGCGGGTGCTCGCGTGGACGGGGGAGCGCAAGTGTAAGCACGTGTATGTGATGCTCCAGGCGACAGCAAGAGTCAGCGCGGGCAGCTGTGCGCACGCACGTGTGCACGGAGGTACCCAGGCGCGGTGCTTCTGGCAGCCAGTGAAGGGATTTCTTGGCGGCCGCTGTCGAATGAAGCAGCCTAGAGTCCTCCGCTGGGCAAGGGAGACTCGGAGCAGCGACCCTCGAGCTATGAGGGGTCCAGCCACGCGCTGCTCCCACTGTGGGAAGCGGCTCTCCCTCCCTCCACCCCAGAGGGAAGACTTGAGGCCACTAGAGGGAGTCCCACGTTGGCGAGAGTAAGGAGAGGAGAGGCTCTAGGATGGGCGTGAGAGTGATGGAAGTGGGCAGTACCTGATGCCCCTGTGATTCGACCCCAGGACCCCCCTTGAAGCTGGCTAGAGCCTAGGACTCTGCCATCTACTTGGTCATGACCATCCGTGGACAGTAGGCCAGCACAGGAAAGGACCCCATCAGTCCACTACTGACTGAAGGAGCCAGAGTTTGCACCTAAGTCCCAGAGGCCAGGCTGGGGACTACCCGAGGTCAGCCTAGGCCAGGGGTTCTGACCTCCATACCCCAAGGCTATGATGGGGAGAGCAGGCAGGGCTCGGTGAGGTTGGCACCCATTCAGCAAAGCCTGGACTTTCTCCCCTTGGGTCTCGGTTTCACCAGAGGTAATGTGAGGAAGCCAGGCAGGATAGCCTTAAAAGAAGTGTCTATGACTCTCTGCTGGGTGTCCAGGGAAGGAGGAAGACAGTCTCTGCCCTGAGAGCTCGCCCGGGGACCAGCATCCCCTACACCAGACACAAATGGCTGCCGGCCATACATATGCAGGGGGTCCGATGTCCCAGTTACACTCCAGCCCACCCGCTAGCCTCCCTCTCCCACCTGACACTCAGCCCAAGTCGTGGGAGAGACCAGTAGCCAGAAGCCCAATGAGAACAATCCCAGTGCTGATGCTGATGTGGCCAGGCTGGGACCCTGCAAGGAGGGCTGTTTGTGGCCAGCACCTGAGCCCTTACAGGAGGGGCCTCGTCCCGTGGCAGTGCAGCCACTGCGGGGCCAGGGGGTCACTGGGCTGGGAAGGAGGCACATTCTCAAGCAAGCCACAGCTCCCCGGCCCAGCCTCCCTCCCTGCCTTTGTCACTGTGGGGTCCTTGTGAGTGTGTGATGAGAAAACAACCATTCTGAGTCTCTACCTCAGCATTTTACAGGATGACAGCCTGCTCACATGGAGTTAGGACACTGAGATAAGGACCCAAACTTAGGAGTCCCACCACAAGTTCCCCTCTGCTTTTCCACTCAGAGTTGAGCCCACAAAAATTAGTGACCTCTGCCCCAAACACCTTGTAAGTAACAGGTGCTATCCTGTTCTCTGTCTCCTGCTGGCTTGTGACCTGGGACAGAGGCTTCCCCGGCTGGTTGCGTCCTGTTTCTGGGATCTGTAAGTAATAAGTCTTGTGCTGGACTTCCTTTGTGTAGGTATACTGGAGCTGCACCTTCAGTCAAAATGACCCCAGGGTTTTCACTTCCCCAGAGTGGGAGCTTGGATGCTGAGGACATGTGGGTGGCTCGAGCCTCCTCATGCAGCCGTCATAACCTGCATATTCTTCCCCGCCTTCTGCTGTCCTGGGAGGGCTCTGAAGGATGGGGTCAGTGTGGGGGAGACACACAGGCTTCTTTCTACTGCAGTGTCCTTCCCCTTCACCGGGGCCATGCCACTCCATCTGAAGGCTTCCTGCCTCCCCCCGCCAGCCAAGCCATCTTGGCGTCTGCTTCTCAGAGGACTGAACTAACACAGTGCCTCCCTCTGCCCTCCTGCCCACCAATATGCTCCCCTCCCCTACATCCAAGTAGACCCTCAGAGAAGGATCTGAAACTCCTTCACAACCAGGAGTAAGTACTATAGAACTGGCCCACCACACCTGAACCCAAACCTTCCACTCAAAAGGAATGGACAATGACAGGGGGACTTTAGATGAAGAAAAGCGTTTGGGGGCTCCTGAGGCCTAGACTCTGCCCCTGGGAGATGCAGGGAGTGCTGCAGAGGCATAGCTGGGCCAGGTCTAAAAATCAGACGTGGTCTTTATTGCGATGGCAGCAATTTTCCAGGAGGAGCAAATGTGGGGAGTCGGGAGTGGCAGCTCAGGCCACTCTACAACCATCTTCACCCCCTCCCCTGTCCTCAGCAAAAACAGAAGCCAAATGAGGCCCCAGCCCCAGACTCCAGCCCAGGGAGGGGCTGTGGGAGGGGGAGAGGCAGGGTCAAAAGTCACATGGAGCCCAGTGACTGTCAAGGCAGCTGGTTGGCAACACGGCTGGAGCAGAGGGGAAGCAGAGAAGGGGCCCAGGGCAGCCCCAGGTGGCCCGACGCAGCGCCGAGGGGCATCAGCCCTGGGCCTGGAGTGCACAGTCCTCTGGTCTCTGTGCAGAGCCGATCGATGGCAGCCTGGCTGGGTAGTGCATGGGGAGCCAGCAGGCAGCTCCCATGAGAAAGACGTGGGAGTGCCAGCCCTGAGGCTGACCACAGCTCCTGCTGAGCCCCCTACAAGAGTGTCTTCCTTCCCCCTGCCCCCAGCCCCTAGCCCCTAGCAGGCAGAGACTAGGAGAGCCTCAGGGCTTGGTGAACATCAGTGGGGTCTTGACTGTGCAGTGGGGGGGGGGAGGGTACACCAGGGCACCAGTGAGCGTGGGAACCAGCCCAGGGCTGCTGAAGGGGTGCAGCCACAGCCTGCAGAGTCCCAGGGAGCCCACTGCTGCTTGTGAGGATTAGGATGGCTCCCAGGAGAGGGATCTGGAGGCAGCCTCCTCACTCTGCACCAGTCCAGGCCAAGTTCTAGGACAGCGGGACCAGCCGCTGGAGTGGAGGCTGGGGGAGCGGCATGAGGGTCAGGAGGACGTCCTCCAAGACGGACAGACAGGAGTTGGCAGAGCTGCTGGCCCAGCCAGGAGCCCAAGATCACCTTATTTGCAGTACTCCTTCCTGAACTCTGGAAACCAAGGGAACAGGTCAGCGTCTGCTCACGCCCCTCCATCACAGGAGGAAATGCAAGGCAGACCTGCCCAGGGGCTTCTGGAGCCCTGAGGTCCCAGGGGACTGCTGCCTGTGGGGCTGGCTGGTTCCTTTGTGGTTCTGAGAGTGGGTGGTGTGGGGTATGGGCCCTGCTGTGAGATGGGTGGAGGAGGCCCTCCCAACCACTCACCGTTGTCCAAGTCCACATACTTGGCAGGCAGGGGGCTATGGGCAAGCCCAGCTCTCTCCTTCAGGATGTTGTTTTTGTAATCTGGGGTGGGGAGAGAGCAGTGTGAGGGCCCTCCCAGAGATGTGCCTCCCCAGTTCAGGCCTGGGAGCCACAGTCTGTGCCTTGGTGTCCAGGGCCCCCTCACCTAGTTGGATGTCCTCAGTCCTGTAAAGAGGCTGGTCCCCTGTGGCGACAGCAAACTCCTCCATGTTCATGTCCTTCCTGGAGCGGGGAGGAGGGGGAGCTCAGGGCGGTGGGCGGGGCGGGGCCTGGTCTCCAGGAGAGCCGGGAGGGTGGTAGGAGGTCAGGGCGGCTGGTGGGGCGGAGCCTGGTCCCCAGGAAAGCCGGGAGGGGGCACTCACCCCTTTGACCGCCCCGATTTCTTGCCCGAGTACTCGTAGCCTGGGGAGGGAGACTCGTGTTGGGGGCAGTCTCGTGCCCTCCCCAGCTCCCCGGCCCCGAGGAACGCTCGCAGCCGCGGCACTGACGTTCATCGGGCCCCCTGCTCGCCCTCTGCTCAGACTGCCGCACCCCAAGTCCCGCCTGCGTCGGGAAAGGCTTCCTGTCCTGGCTCACCTCCGCGGCGACGCTGGCGGGTGGCCAGGATGACGGTGATGAGCAGCAGGATGAAGAGCAGCAGAGTAGCCAGCACGTAGCCCAGCTGCTGGAAGAAGTGGGCCCTGCCCTCGGGGACGATGACGTTGATGACGCTGCGGCCGCGCGCCAGCGTGGGGTCTGCAGGGGCCGTGCGGGGGCGAAGTCAGGGGGGTGCTGCAGACCGACCACGCGGTGCGCCCGCCCGGACCCAGGCCGCCCCTGCTGCGCTGCGTGGGTCTCCGGAAGGGACAGGCGGCTGCTGCCCGTGTGTCCTTCCCTCGGCTAGCACCCAGGTCCCTCATTCGGGACGGGAGTGGGACAGGGAGGGGCCCAGGTGTCTCCTGCCGTTCCCAGCCCCGGAAACGTTCCCTGGGCGCCCAGGGCGGCCTCCTGTACCTGGCCGGGGGGCGCTGCTGTGGCTGGAGCCGTTGCCCGGCGAGTCCCGCGGGGGAGGCTGTGCGGCGGGCTCGGTGACCCTCAGGTGGAAGACGCGGCGCTCGTGCAGGCCGCAGTAGTGGTGGTGCAGGTGGCAGGAGTAGGTGCCCTCGTCGGCAGGCTCCAGCGGGTCGATGCGCAGAGAGAAGTCGCCGCGCGCAAAGGCGTCCACTGCCACCGCCACGCGGTCGCGCAGGAAGGGCGGCCCGTAGGCGCGGCGCTCGCCCGACGCGTACAGGTCGAGCAGGCGGTCGGCGCGGTCGTGCGGCACCCCCGGCGGCTGCCGGTCCCAGTGCACCACCTGCTGCGCCTCCTCCAGGTGCCGGTCGGTCCACACGTGTGCGCGGTTCACGCACGTCAGCAGCGCGGGAGCCCCGCGCTCCGCCACCAGCACCTCCTTCTCGCCGTCCCAATGTGCGCCGGCGGCCCGGGCTGGAGGTGCAGGGCGGTCAGGGATCCCCCACAGAGGAGGAGAGAGGACAGGGAGGGACCAGGAAAGGAGTCTAGGGGGGCAGGGAGGCGTGAGGACAGGGGCTGGTCCCCGGGGGCTGGCACACTCACGGTTGTCAGTGACCTCGAGACGGACGGCCAGGCTCTCGTAGAGGTGGCAGTAGTGGTGGTGCAGGTTACAGGTGTACAGGCCCTCGTCTGTCTCCTCCACCGCTACGCACCCGGGAGAAAAGCTAGCGTGAGCTCCGCAGCGTCCCGAGTGCCGCGCGCCTCGGAGCCCCTGAGCCCCCGCCCGGATCCAAGGCGCCGTACCCCGGATGAGCAGCGAGAAGTTGCCGTCGTGGAAGGCGGAGGGCGGCAGTAGCAGGCGGCCGCGGTCGCGCGTCTCGTACACGCGCTGCTCGCCCGCCGAGTACATGTCCACCAGTCGGCGCGTGGGGCCGCCGGCAGGGCCGCCGCTGAGGTCCCAGTGGACCACGCGCTGGCGGTCGTGCAGCCGGTCCTGGGTCCACACCATACGAGGGCTTTGGCAGCGCAGCGTGGCCTGGGCGCCGGCCGCCCAGCTCACCACAGATTCTGACACCACCGAGCTGCCGGCCATCCCGGGCCCAGACGGCCCTGGTGGGGAGGAGGAGTCCATGAGGGAGGGGTGGGACCCAAGGGAACAGGCACAAGGTGGGACTGGAGAGGCCAGAGAGGACTGTTGCGGTTTCCAGGGGAGGGTGGTCACTAACCTGAGGACAGAAGGACAGCAGAGCCTGGAAGGAGAGGAAAAGTGAGTCACACTGGAGAGGGGCGACCTGAGCCTTTGTCTCCAGGACCCCACCCAGCCCAGGCCCCCACTTGGCTGCCTGGGTCCCTTCTATAGCCCTCGCTGAGGTGGGTGCTCATGACACCCATTTTAACAGGTGGGGGTAAAGACAGAGAAGCCAGGAGGACACAGATGGGGATCTCCTTTAGCCCCACGTGGGTGGGCACCGTGCCCACGGCCCCCACTTAATCCTCACAGCCACCTGCCTGGGCTGCACGGATAGCGCCTACCCTTTTGGGGCAAGTGGTGGGGCCAGGGTTAGACCCTGTGCAGGCTGGCTCTGGAGTGTGTGCTTGTCACCAAGGGCCATCCTCATCATCTCCACAGCTAGACCACCAAAGCCTGACACCCAAGGCTGGTTCTGGGGGCTCCACACATGCGTATCCAGGATGGCATGTGCACCTGCCAAGGGCCCTGCCACACTAGCCCTCGAGGTCCTCTGATCACTGGGAGCCCTGTCTCACACCCAGTGCTCAGGGCCGGGGCCCCCTCGGCCTTCCTGAAGAGCAGAGGTCTGAAGCATGAGGAGGCTGGACGTGGGGAGTGACCCCACCATCCACCACCCAAGAGGCCAAGTTTCTGCTCTAGAGATGTGGCTGAGCGCCCGGGATGAGAGGAATGTGCCGGGTCAGCAGGCCAGCCCCGGGGGCGGGCTCAGGGGGCTGGGAGCTGAGGGGGGCTGGAACAGACCCTGCGAGCCCCATAGTTCCCAGGCCTCTCTCAATCCCCCAACCCACTCCCCTCCTGACAACTGGGAGAAGTGCAGGCCTGAGGAGCTTCCCCAAGAAGGGGGGTGTGCAAGGGACCCCAGTGGGAGGCATCTGCCGCTTCTGCCTCCCTGTCCTTGGCCCTCTGGCTCCAGGTCTGTGCAAGGGGAAGTTCTGGCGGGATGGAGATCTAAGTGAGACCTCATACACTCCTGGGTCCTGGGGGGCCCTCTGAGGCCCCCCAGAGCTGTCCCCTTCCCGAGGGTGTCCCACCCCTCCCGGCTTGAGCTCAGACAGGCAGCTCTGCCCAGAATGCGACCCACTCAGACCCACTCAGCGCTTCCGCCTCCTGACCCCCACCCCCCTGCACTCACTCTGAAGAAGCACAAGTTTCCAGAACAGGACTCGGGACCGCAGCTCCATGGCGCCCGCCTGGCCCGCCGGCCTCGCTTTGTCTCACTCCAGCTCTAACTCTCCAGAAAAACAGCCCGGCCCCCTCCCCCTCCTTAGCACCCGCCATGACATCACGGAGCCCTGGGCTGGGTCCACAGTCTGTAGACCGCCCCCTCTGGCTCCTGCCCGGCCCCCTGCCCCCCCCCCCCGCCCCCCTCCGCTGGCCTAGGGAGGGGTAGGGCCATGGCCACTTGTCCCAGTCGGTGAGGGGAGTGCAGGCAGCAGCATGGCCCCCTCTCTGGCTGGGGTCCTGGAGAGGGGGCAGTAGCCCAGCCCCTGGAGGGACAGGAGGAGCTGAGGGCATGGCCCCAGATCCCATAGGCATCTGGGACACACAGGGCCCTTCTGAGACTGCTGCAGGGCTGGGATTCTGGGGTGAGCATCTCCTCGCCCCACCTCTGCAGGGGGGACACAGGCCCAGGGCACTCCCCCACGTGGGCAGCCTGGCCACGACTGCTGGGCAGGGTCCTCCTCTCTCTGCTGCTGAGGAGCTTGAAGCATCCGTCCACTGCGGGCCAGCAGAAAGGTGTCCTGGGTCCAGTACCCACAAGGAGCCCAGGCTGCCAGACCCATCTCTGCTCCCCTTCTCGGGGCGATGGCCCTGGCACACCCTTCTCTCTGGGGGCTGCATTTCTTCTCTGTGAAATGGACATGAGGGTAGCACCCACCCTGGGGACCCAGAGGGTCTGTTTATCAGTCATTTTTACCATCCAGAGGAGCCAGCCAGGGAAGTGAGGTATGGAGACCCTGTGTGCTGAGGGGGCCAGCTGGGTGAGCAGCCCCCTCCCCTCTGGCCTGATATCCCTCCCCAACTGCCCACCGTCAAAGGCTGAGCCTGGTGTCCTTGAAACCAAACCTGGGGTTCCAGTCCCCCCCGGGAGCACCCCCACCCCATCCAGGCCCGGGTTCCAGTGCTCCTGGGACCCCTCCCAAGACCCGAGTTCCAGTGTTCCTGGGACCACCTCCCTGCCAAGGCCCGGGTTCCACTGCTCTGGGACCACCGCCCCCCGCCCCCCCCTCCCCCCGGCCAAGGCCCGGGTTCCAGTGCTCCCAGGAACACCCTCACCCCACCCACAGGGGAAGGGAGGAAGGGGGGTACGGGAGCCTCCCTAGCGGAAGGCACAAATTTGAAGCTCTGGGAAAACTTACAAAGTCACATAAACAAATGTGAAATAACAGAGCACACACTGCACCAAGCCCACTCTTTCTAGTTGAGCAAACCTCAAAAAAACATCCAAACAACCACAAAACCCACAGTGCAGTTTTTAGACAGCCCACTTGGATTGAACTATCGTCACAGGCCCCAGTCCCAGGTGGGCCAGGGTCTCATCCTGGAACCCTGCCCTGGCCCCCAAGTCGTCAGACAAGTGAGAAGCTGGGGCTGCTGGGCTCCAGGCAGCAGGAGGAGGCTGCTGCAGCGAGAGGGACTGAGGGGAGACACAGGGAGGACCAGCTGCGAGGACACAGAGAGGCCCCCACTCCTGACCCCCTTCCTCAGCAGAATCAGGCCCTGGGTGGAGAAGGCCCTTTCCTAAATCAGAACTTGTAGCCTCTCCCCCACCCCCTGCTCTTCCCTGGGCCTTTCATTCTGGAAAAACAAGCCCCGCCTGGCTGGCCTTGAGGCCTGGCCTCTCCTCCTGTTTTTCTAACTGGTTTATATTAGCACTGGCGGCCTCCCTCCAGGCCCTCCTCCCTCTTCTGCGTGCCCAGCCCGTGTCTCTCTCTCCATCGGCCTCTACTGCTGTCTCTCCATCCCAGTCCTCTCTTCCTGCCTCTGTCTGCTGGGCTGTCTCTCCTCCAGGATAGGAGGATGTCCAGGCAGTGCTGGAGGGAGGCAGAGATGGCCCAGGGCCGGCCCCTCAGTCTGGAAGGGGGCCAGGGTCAGCGCCCAGTCCTAAGCTAGGAGCCAGGGGGTGCCCAGTCCATACCCTAAACTCCTTGTAAAGCCCTCCCTCTCCCAGCAGTTGCCTGGCTCAGGCTCTGCGTGCTGAGGTCCAGTGGGGCCCTTGAGCTGCAGACCCAGACCTTAGCTCAGCATAAACGCAGAAGTCTGACAGGGTGCAACTAGGGGGAAGCAGATCCCCCTTGCACCACTGGGCAAGGATGGACAGAGGCAGTGGAGGGCAGCCATGACTTCCTATTCCCTGCTCCATCCTGTTCTCTCTGCTTGAGGACAGAAGCTCGAGATGAGCACCAATGGGCTGCGGCTGCCCCCACCCAGTCCTTGGCAGGAAATAGCCACAAATGAGAGCAGAGGCCCAGCTGGAGGCCTGGGCTGCTGACCAGGCCACCTGCCCCTCCCACGCATGGCCAGGGCCTGAGCCCCCTGCTCCTTCCCAAGTGCCTGTGGCTGCTCATTTCCTAGCCTCTCCTGGCACCTCTGTTCCTCGGGAAGAGACCAGACCAGGACAAAACAAAGCCACTGACATCACTGTGGTCCCACCCTGAGCTCTGGCCAAACTCCGGCCAGACCAGAGCCCAGACCTACCTCCCCTCTCCTAGGAGGCTGAACAAGAGGGGTCAGCCAGCCAGCCCACTGAGAATCAGACTCTGGCTCCCATTCCTGGGGATTTGGACATTCCAGGCAGCCTGGCTCATTGGGAGGAAAAACCGCAGGCACTCAGAAACACAAGCAGACACACAGACACAACCAGACACAACCAGATACACAGAACACAGAAGCGCAGATACACAGACACAAGCAGACACAGAGACACAGAGACACAACCAGATACACAGAACACAGACATGCAGACACACAGACACACAGACTTGCAGACACGTGCTCACACAGGCCATTCTGTCACTCAGTGAGCATCTGCTGAGCACCGACTATGCCAGGCACTGGGACTCAGCATAGAACACAACACCTGGCCCTGGCGCTGTTAGAGAGGAGACAGACACAGACCTGCTCGCTGATCAATGAGATCAGGTACAACACTGAGAGGTACTGTCAAGAGGATAAAACAGGACAGGGGTTCCCTCCTCCAGACTGACCAGGACAGCTTCCGAAGGGGTGACACCCATAAGTCAACGGCCAGGCCAGGCCCGGGGAAGCCACCTCCTAGGTGCGGGGGAGCAGCACTGGGCACACGGGGGAGGTCTGCGGGGCCATGGTCTGGCTTTCACGTGAGCGAGATGGAGTCCTGGCGGGTTTCAGTGCAGGAGGGATGTGATCTGGTGATGCAGGAAACATGGGATGGTTCAGGTAGAACTGTTGGGGTTTACAGGAACACACAAGGAAAGGAGCCCTCTAAGGGCCAGGCAGTGGGCACAATTCTAAGATGCTCCCCAGGACTTCTGGCTGCTGTGTCCACACCCTGCATCCTCCCCTGGAGTGTGGCCGGGGGCGGTGTCTATGTTGGGATAGTCCTTCACACCCACAAAGCAAAGGCGCTGGGATGTCACTCCCTGATGAAGTCCCCATCATCACTGGCTGGAGCCAGCTTCTCATGCTGGCCATGCTGTGAAAGGACCTATGGAGGGGGTTATGTGGCAAGAAGCTGAGGGCAGCCAACTGCCAACGGCCGAGAAGAAAATAGCCCTCAGTCCTACAACTGCAAGGAGCTGGGTTCTGCCAGCACTTGGATGAGCGTAGAGGAGGCCCCATGCCTCAGGTGAGGACACAGCCCTGGCTGACACCGATTTCGCCTGGAGGGACACCGAGCAAACTCGTGTCCGGACACCTGACCCATGGAAGCTGTGTGATAATGAATGTGTTGCATTAAGCTGCTAAGTTTGTGGTGATTTGGTGACACAGCAATAGAAGACAAATATGGCTGCCTCCCAGAACAAAGCAAGGGATGGACCCAAAAAGGCAGAGGCCACAAGTGTCACCAGGAGAAGTGGTTGGTTTCTCCACTGGGGATTGGCGGCCACAGCAGAGCGTGGTGTGGGTGGACTGCCAGGCCACAAGGTCCGATGGGGTTTCCTTAGGAACTGCGTTGATCCATCTCAACGTGAGGTTGAGGCCAGAGCCTAGAGATGTGTCACAGACCACAAGCACTCTCAACTTTACCTCGGATTGTCTTTCTCTGGTTCTGACCAGGTTTCCTGGAGCGATCACTTGCATGTGTGTTGCTCCTTCTTCTGGAGTGCTCATGGTTTGCCACATTGCCATGTCTCAGACCATGAGGCAGGGAACTCTGCAGATCCTGTGTCTGAAGACATGGGTGTGTCCTACAGGAGGGCTGTTGACCATGAGGGCTCTTGTCTCCTGGTGGAGAACCACAAGTCGGATGACCTGGCCAGATGGGCTGCGAGATCATCAATGCATTGAGACACCGTGATTCGAAAATACAGACAAGAAAACTTGGAAACATGGACCAGCCAACCACTTTATCCTGAGAAATGTCAAGGAACCAAGACCAAAGATCTGGCCTGGTCCTGGTCAGACCCCAGGCAGTGGGCTCCCACCATAACGTCACTAATGGGGTCTCTCCTCTGTTTGGCTTGTTCTGTTTGTGGAGGCACAGAGAGGCCAGCCGACTCACACACAGAAACCTGCTCATTGTATGTTCACAGACTAGAACCCTGACCGCAGGCTCCAGTGTCAGCCTCTGTATTTGTCTCTCCAATCACGTCAAAAATGTTCATTTTAAAGTTGGGAACCAAGAGTCATCAATTGACTTCTAACAGATTTCACCTGCAATGCCTCTGACCATAGGAGTGACCTCTGCCCACAGGATCCCCAAGTCCACCTCGTTCCTGGTGAGCCAGGAGGGGAAGGCCTTTCCTTCCAGAAGGCCGGGGCTGATGACTGTGCAGCAACCGCCGCCCCAGCTTCTTGGCAGGACTGAGGGGGTTGCTCCCACATGTGACACACGTCCCGGGGCCTTAGCGGCAGCTTCCCACCCCTCGCCAAGGTGGGGAACATTTAAATGTGGCATTTCCAGCATGGTTATGGTGCACATTTGGTTTATCCAATTATACCCTCATGGGAAAGAGACAGATTTGTATGGATCCTGTTGCACCACTCGTCGAGTCACTGCCTCTCAGCTCCCACCACCTTGCAGGTCAGGCTCCATGGTACTGCTTGGGCTTCCCTTACACATCTCCGCTT